AATGTCCAACTTACTTGATTTCTCTTGCTAGTTACAAGTGACTACTAAAGACTATGTTGTAGAGTTTTTATATTATTTTATTATCTCTTTATTCACTTTAATCTTGAGATACAGACGAAGTATCTTTATTTATTATATGTATATAAATCAAATTAATTAGTTTATTCTTTTGTTTGAATAGCTTCTTATTTTATCGACTAAATATCTGGTTTTAACTAGTTTCGCTATCTGAGTATTCGCTACGGGTGCTTCTTCAAAGAAGTCGCAGAAAATACATTGTGAACTGACAAGAGGGCGGGAGAAATAATTCAGTATAAAATTAAAAAAAAAAGCTTTTAGAAGAATATCATTCATTAAATTGTAAAGAAATGAGAACCAAGGGTAAACATGTTTTCTTGCTAAAGTTGTCATGTCTTGGAAAAGGTGACAAAACACTGCATTATGAGATTTCAATTTTACTCCAAACTGGAAATATCAACATAAAAATCATTGTATAATATTAAGATTCGTAAGAAATTATTTGTACCATGTGTACGAGAAATCGCTAACCATTTTCTGAGTTTAAGGCCATCTCTCAAGGTGGCTAACATTACACTTGGTAAATACTTTGTCAGCTATGTTTTCTAAAAGTTCGCCAATCAAAAAATTACTTGTTGAGTTCATCACTGAAAGGTGAGAGGTCGTGAATTTAACCAAGCTTTTGCCTGCGCTAAAGTCGTCGATAATTAATTCCTCATAAGTGGGTGTAGCGTATATGTATGTATGAATGTCCCCTATAGCCCATTTTGAATGTGATTTAGCATACGAACCCCGTCATCAGCCTATCAGCGCCCACTGCTGAGCAAAGGCCTTTTTCTCACATGGAGAAGGTTTGAGCATTAATCACCACGCTTGCTCAAAACGGGTTGGTGATTTCAAACTTATAATTGTGAAACTATAAGTCCAGGTTTACTCACGATGTTTTTCTTCACCGTATGTGAACCCAAGCCTCCCATAATTCCCCAAAAGTTCGGAACGTGTGGAGGTTTAAAGTGCCACGCAGTACGCTTTAACGTTAACAAGTCTGCTATTTCGTTTGACATTGATAACATGAACATATGTATATCATAAAAGTTTGTCAGCACCTACTAAATTGGTGCCATTCTCACTTCCATTTCGTGGTCACGTCTCGCAGTAAATGTCTGGAACGGGAATCCTCGCTGACTACGTCCACGCAACTGTTCTAGTGTTAAATTTATTGTTTTAGTTTTCTTAAATTCAAATTAAAAGGGTAGTTTTTATCAATTACCCTAAAGTTTTTCTCCATACTATTCTAAAAGCATGACACATGACGTGTGACAAAAAATAAGTAATCGAATTTTAAATGAGATCCTGTGGTCCTGTTTGATGCGATTACGGTAAGAGTAACGATTTTTAAGATTTTTTTTCATTCACACAGATGATCTCGGTAATCGAATGACCGATCGAATTCAGGTTTTTTTGTGACGAGAGAAAAACATGCTCAAATCTCTTAGTTTTATTTACTGTTCGTTTTGGATAATCGTCGATATCAACAATGTAAGAAAAAAAAACTAAAAAATAACAGAAGTTCTTCAAGACTTTCTACCTCCCCATAGAATATGCTAAAGTCCTTTTTGAAAGGCGCCAAATATCTTTCCTCATTTTGCTACTCATTATTTTCAGTAAAGAGCTGATAAAACATCCTGCTATCACATTAGCATGCATAAATACTCCATGGACGAATGTAGAAAGTACCTACTTCTATAATTATATATTATTTAATATTATTTTAAATTTTCAGGTATGATAGTGTCTATATTGTCCACAAATAATGTTATTCATAATATAACATTGTGTATCTTCTACACAACGAGAAACTGTGTTAAAAGTTTTTTAAATTGTGATATAAGTTTTCTGGTACATTTAAATGTTTGGTGCCAAATCCATTAATGATTTCAATGTTTCCTTATTTTTTATGGGACGTATGTATAAACAGAGACAAGTTAATTAATATCGTGCATAAAATATTAAAAGAATTGTTTTACATCTTGCCAAACATTTTGTGGTGGTACCTTACGAATAATTTTCAAGACTGAAAGGATTTTCAAACCATGGCGGCTTAAAGTATCTTGTGAATTACATTTTTAAAAGAAACATATAAGTTAAAGTAGATTAATTTTCATATATATTTATGATTCATATAATACATTTGGTTTTTAGTTCAGGGTGTCTGGGAGGACTTCGATGGGGTTGACGTCAACAGGGACAACAATAACTTCCTCAGGTACAACAGGCTCTTCGATGATTTCAGGTTCGTCGACGATGATAACGGGTTGGTCAGGAATGTGATCATCACTTTCGTCATCGATGACTGGGCCTGGCTGAGGTTTGTTAGCGTCAGAGTTGACGTTGATGATGATTTGGACCAGAGGGGACACTGAAGGGGAGGGTCCTACGGATGAGTCATCAATGATGACGGGTCCAACGTCGATGGGGGAGTCTTCGTCAATAATGACGGGTCCAACGTCAATTGGGGAGTCTTCGTCAATGATGACGGGTCCGACGTCAATTGGGGAGTCTTCGTCAATAATGACGGGTCCAACGTCGATGGGGGAGTCTTGGTTGTTCAGGATACTGTCAAGCAACTGTTGGAGTGCGGCAGCTGTAGCGGGGTCGGTGCTGGGATGGTTGATAGCAGCAATGATATCCTTGATCTCAGCGGCTTCTGCAGCAGCCACGTCGGGGACGATGAAGCGGGCTGACGCCGCGGCGACACAGACAGCGAACACAATGAGGAATTTCATCTTAACCTGAATAAAATATTCAATAAATTAGTACCACTATATTTTTTTATGTAAATCTAATGAGAATATTAAACATGTCCAACTTACTTGATTTCTCTTGCTAGTTACAAGTGATTACTAAAGACTATGTTGTAGAGTTTTTATATTATTTTATTATCTCTTTATTCATTTTAATCTTGAGATACAGACGAAGTATCTTTATTTATTATATGTATATAAATCAAATTAATTAGTTTATTCTTTTGTTTGAATAGCTTCTTATTTTATCGACTAAATATGTGGTTTTAACTAGTTTCGCCATCTGAGTGTTCGCTACGGGTGCTTCTTCAAAGAAGTCGCAGAAAATACATTGTGAACTGACAAGAGGGCGGGAGAAATAATTCAGTATAAAATTAAAAAAAAAGCTTTTAGAAGAATATCATTCATTATATTGAAAAGAAATGAGAACCAAGGGTAAACATGTTTTCTTGCTAAAGTTGTCACGTCATGTCATTTCTGAGTTAAAGGCCATCTCTCAAGGTGGCTAACATTACACTTGGTAAATACTTTGTCAGCTATGTTTTCTAAAAGTTCGCCAATCAAAAAATTACTTGTTGAGTTCATCACTGAAAGGTGAGAGGTCGTGAATTTAACCAAGCTTTTGCCTGCGCTAAAGTCGTCGATAATTAATTCCTCATAAGTGGGTGTAGCGTATATGTATGTATGTATGTCCCCTATAGCCCATTTTGAATGTGATTTAGCATACGAACCCCGTCATCAGCCTATCAGCGCCCACTGCTGAGCAAAGGCCTTTTTCTCACATGGAGAAGGTTTGAGCATTAATCACCACGCTTGCTCAAAACGGGTTGGTGATTTCAAACTTATAATTGTGAAACTATAAGTCCAGGTTTACTCACGATGTTTTTCTTCACCGTATGTGAACCCAAGCCTCCCATAATTCCCCAAAAGTTCGGAACGTGTGGAGGTTTAAAGTGCCACGCAGTACGCTTTAACGTTAACAAGTCTGCTATTTCGTTTGACATTGATAACATGAACATATGTATATCATAAAAGTTTGTCAGCACCTACTAAATTGGTGCCATTCTCACTTCCATTTCGTGGTCACGTCTCGCAGTAAATGTCTGGAACGGGAATCCTCGCTGACTACATCCACGCAACTGTTCTAGTGTTAAATTTATTGTTTTAGTTTTCTTAAATTCAAATTAAAAGGGTAGTTTTTATCAATTACCCTAAAGTTTTTCTCCATACTATTCTAAAAGCATGACACATGACGTGTGACAAAAAATAAGTAATCGAATTTTAAATGAGATCCTGTGGTCCTGTTTGATGCGATTACGGTAAGAGTAACGATTTTTAAGATTTTTTTTCATTCACACAGATGATCTCGGTAATCGAATGACCGATCGAATTCAGGTTTTTTTGTGACGAGAGAAAAACATGCTCAAATCTCTTAGTTTTATTTAGTGTTCGTTTTGGATAATCGTCGATATCAACAATGTAAGAAAAAAAAACTAAGAAATAACGGAAGTTCTTCAAGATTTTCTACCTCCCCATAGAATATGCTAAAGTCCTTTTTGAAAGGCGCCAAATATCTTTCCTCATTTTGCTACTCATTATTTTCAGTAAAGAGCTGATAAAACATCCTGCTATCACATGAGCATGCATAAATACTCCATGGACGAATGTAGAAAGTACCTACTTCTATAATTATATATTATTTAAGATTATTTTAAATTTTCACGTATGATAGTGTCTATATTGTCCACAAATAATTTTATTCATAATATAACATTGTATATCTTCTACACAACGAGAAACTGTGTTAAAAGTTTTTTAAATTGTGATATAAATTTTCTGGTACATTCAAATGTTTGGTGCCAAATCCATTAATGATTTCAATGTTTCCTTATTTTTTATGGGACGTATGTATAAACAGAGACAAGTTAATTAATATCGTGCATAAAATATTAAAAGAATTGTGTTACATCTTGCCAAACATTTTGTGGTGGTACCTTACGAATAATTTTCAAGACTGAAAGGATTTTCAAACCATGGCGGCTGAAAGTATCTTATGAATTACATTTTTAAAAGAAACATATAAGTTAAAGTAGATTTTATAAATTAAAGTATAAGTTTTATAAGTTAAAGTAGATAAATTTTCATATATATTTATGTTTCATATAATACATTTGGTTTTTAGTTCAGGGTGTCTGGGAGGACTTCGATGGGGTTGACGTCAACAGGAACAACAATAACTTCCTCAGGAACAACAGGCTCTTCGATGATTTCAGGTTCGTCGACGATGATAACGGGCTGGTCAGGAATGTGGTCATCACTTTCATCATCGATGACTGGGCCTGGCTGAGGTTTGTTAGCGTCAGAGTTGACGTTGATGATGATTTGGACCAGAGGGGACACTGAAGGGGAGGGTCCTACGGATGAGTCATCAATGATGACGGGTCCAACGTCGATGGGGGAGTCTTCGTCAATAATGACGGGTCCAACGTCAATTGGGGAGTCTTCGTCAATGATGACGGGTCCGACGTCGATTGGGGAGTCTTCGTCAATGATAACGGGTCCAACGTCGATGGGAGAGTCTTGGTTGTTGAGGATACTGTCAAGCAACTGTTGGAGTGCGGCAGCTGTAGCGGGGTCGGTGCTGGGATGGTTGATAGCAGCAATGATATCCTTGATCTCAGCGGCTTCTGCAGCAGCCACGTCGGGGACAATGAAGCGGGCTGACGCCGCGGCGACACAGACAGCGAACACAATGAGGAATTTCATCTTTACCTAAATAAAATATTCAATAAATTAGTACCACTATAATATTGAATGAAAATCGAATGAGCGTATTAAACATGTCCAACTTACTTGATTACTTTTGCTAGTTCCAAGTGATTACTAGAGACTATGTATATTGTAGGGTTTTTATATTATTTTATTATCTACATATTTACTTTAATCTTGAGATATAGACGAAGTATCTTTATTTATTAGATGTATATAAATCAAATTAATACGTTTTATTGCTGTTCAAAGCTAGTTAAAATCTATAAAGTAATGATATTCAGACGTTCATAAAAAGTTTTGAATCTTAAAGATTGTCTCAAATATTATTCTCGTAAAATTTTATGAATATGTTTTTTCCAACTTTCAGATAACCAGAATAATTCGTGAATAAATAATAAGTAGTTGTTGAAAGAATCTACTGACATAATTTGTTGGTCACATGTAAGCCTTCTCGTTTTAAAACTTAGGTACAACACGGACTATATTCCTATATTTTTTGATGTTAAAATATGTAACCGCACTCACAGAAAATCAGCGTGAAGTGCTCTTTAATGGCTGTGTGAGAGAGAGAGCCGTTTCCTTTCCTTATTCCTTGGTTTTTTTGAGGTGGTCACCCTAGCTGTGGTCAGTTACTACAGCTCGAACATGGGCTGGCTCGACCGGGGAAGTACCACCCTCTTACAGAAGCTTTAATGGCTGCGATTCGTCCGATCAGTGAGAGAGCCGGTTGCCCTTTCTTTATTCCCACTCTTTCCTACCATTTCCTTATTTGCCCTTTGCCTTTCCCACCCTTTTCTTTTCCTCCCCCTTTTCCCCAATCAAGGGCGGCAACACATATCTTCGTACGTACGTTAAACGTATGGTAAATCTAGGTTGCGGACGTCCATGGGCGATGGTACTACCTCCATCAAGTAGGCCGTTTGCTCGGTTGCCCCTTTTTCCGATAAAAAAAAATCTGCAACAACAGAAGTGGTGTTTATGAATTTTTTGATTGAAAAGTTTTCAAACCACCAGTATCATACGAGCCTTAATTTGTTTTTCTTCATTTATGTTAGTCATTTGTCCCTTAGACAATTGACATAAGATGCATATTATATTAAACATTTGGTAACGATGCCCGTATATGAAAGAAAAACATTTTGGTTACCAAAAAGAATGCCCAAGCAACTCTCTCTAATGCCTCATCATCTGTACTTATCTTTGAAAATATCAAACAGTAAGTATTTTTAATATTTATTGTCGTACATGACAACAATAGTATTTGTGTTATTAAATTTGTATGTCAAGAAAAAGTATGGATATTTAGATTCCATTATTGCTTAACATGGCAAACTGTGGTTATTAGGTATTCGAAAAACTGCTTGTTATAATATAAAATATTCGTGGGAAAAATCACAGAAAACGCTCGAATTTTATTCATTTCTGAATAGATATATATTCAATCTTACATAGTATATAACATAATATGTATATAAGCAAAATAATTTAAGCTATGTTTCTGGACAAAAAAAAATTAGAGGCCTGTTATATTTGTATTAAAATATTATCACGATTTTCGTCATGGATAATATTACATATAAAATAATGGAACATCATAAATTACTTTATATATATCGTGATAACATTGTTATTAGATGATGGACATTTCACGCTGTTACGTGTGTATGAGCAACTGGGTCTAGCAATTTAGATAACACATAAATTATTCGGCCGTATATGTTATATACCTGTTCATGTTTTGTTAATTTGGTCTCTATAACTTGCAGATAAACGATATATTGCTGTAATATGTTACGTAAAATTTTATATGCTAACCAAAGCTTCGGAACTGCCGTCGGTAATCGTCTTCACAAGGCGTCGACTTTAACGGTTCTGCTTTTACCTATTTATTCAATAATTTATATTCGTCATAATTTTACGTTTCCAATGAAACGGTTTAATGAAAGCTTCAATTAACATGTCATGTCTGTCTGACGCAATAAGGTGTATTGCTGAATAAAAAGTCATACACTCATTCTTTCTCCAAATATTTTCTCTGCACAATATACAATTATTTAGTCCGTCGATGTCATTTGTAGTATGTATCCAATGCATATTAACGGAGTTTCATATTATTGTTATTAATTATAATACGATAATTAAACTCGTATAAATATAGGTACATCTTGAAAACAAAAAACTGTTGAACATATCTTACTCATATCTCGTCTGCTCGTGATCACGGTTGCTGTAAAGTAGCCGAAATGTCGGGAGTATGTAGTTTATAGAAAAATAAAAAAAACGCGTAGTAAATCCGAAAATATTAGTTTCATTTAACTGTTGAACATATGTACAACAAACGTACCTATACTTTATCTTTTACAAACCAAAATAATGATGAACACTGAAAATTATCAAACCACGCTCTTTGAGTAGATAACCAATGATTACGCTACGTATTTAAGTTTTAAATATAAAAAATAGCTAAGTATTCAATAATGTTATCGTAAAAATATTATAAATTACTAATGAATACGTGTTAATAGCTCTTTATACTGAAATAAAATCTTTTTGAACCAATCAATTAGAAAAAAAAATGTTTGCAGTTATTTCATATGGGATTTATTAACCAATGTCATTGCTATAATTTCATAATCATTACCAGAATTTCATTTTCCCTATCATAATCTTAGGATCAATATATCTGCTATCTGGACGGTTAATACCGGTAATGAAAAGACTGGTCATAAATATTATCGCATCATATTTAGATTTACTACTTTTATGATGACAAAGTCGAATTAGGTATTAGGTTTTTAAAAAAGTAAAAAAAGATTTTATTTATTTTTTAGTATATACTTATAAATGTATATTAAACACATATTAATTAGCTTGTTGGATTAATAGTTTGTCAAACAAAAAAATACAAGATTAGAAAAAGTTCCTAAGTATTTTTTGAATTCCCAAATTTTGTGAATTGTGTTAGAATGGATGCGTTTCTGTTTCTGTAAATTGCTTAATATAAAAAATATATATAAATAGATTTTAAACTTTAAACTTGTTTTGTTTACTTTTTTCCATTTGGAAACAAAAAGTCAAAGTTTATTTAAATAAAATGTTCTTCTTCTTCTTGGCAATTTCCCAGCTTTAGGTAGGATTTGCCTTACATGTTGTAAATAGTTCTGGCTAATTGTTTTTACGACCGACCGCCTGCCTCACATCAACCCTCTTTGGGAATAAATAAAATGTTATATCTATCTAATTAAATCAAAAAACAAACTACCTACTGAATGTGCTTTTGTAAAATATTTATAAACTTCTCCGCTTATTTTATAATAATAAAGTAATAAACTCAAAGTTTAATATTGTTTACAATCATTTATTTTGAAAGTGATTTGAGTCACTGTTAGTGTAATGGTTAGAAGGCCCGCCTCGCGTTCCCGAGAGCGCGGGTTCGATCCTGGCCCGGGCAAGTACCAATGTGATTTTTCCGAGTCATATGTATGTACTTTTTAAGAATATTTAGACATCTCTGATTAATGCTGATTTCCAACAAAAGGTTGATGTCAAGCAGGCGGCCGTTCGTAAAAAAAAATTAGCCAAAACTATTCACAACACGTAAGGCAGACCCTAGCTATAGTCGGGAAATTGCCACGTAGAAGGAAGGATTTTGAAAGTGATTACGTTTGAAAGTGATAAAAATTAGGAAGGTCATAAAAATAATTCCCAATTGAAAATAATATTTAGACAGGAGTGAAACAAAAAGTTCCTTATTTTTAAATACTTCTTAAATTTTTAATGAATATTTCCCTGTGTCATAAATATTTATTTCGATCCTTTTTTTATTATGAAAAGTAATATTTCAGATCTCAATTCTGATGCTTTTTTTTCATATAGATTCTATCAATTTAGAACAGATAATAAATATTATTATTAAATAAAATAAAACGCTATATTCCGGAGGTTCCAGATGGAGTTCTGTGCATGTGTATAAATTTTTCACTCTACGAGTACATTTCCTCTTTGAATTCTAATTCACATATTTGTAATTCCAAGGCCACTAATACAAACCTAAATTTAAATCAAATTCATAGACTTCAAATGCGTTTTATCATTATCATATACCTTTGTATTTTAGTACAGTTTCAAAAATTTTGTATGACGAATAGTTTGCCATTACGGCTGATAAAGTAACTTGTATATCATTAAACAGACAATTTTACATATTAAACTTTAATCATTAAATAATCACTACTTGATCGTGTGAAAACTTTATCAATATTTTTGTAAATATTATCAAAAACAAAATAATTATAATATTTAGACGCTAATAAATAACTTCAATTTTAAATACACGTTTTACATTGCTTACTTAAGTTTTTTTAAGTGATAAAAGGGATATAATTAATAATAGAAACTTTCAACTTCATTTAATAGTAATAACAGAAGTTATTGACTTGGAAAGGGGAACTAAATTTGTTATAAATTGGTAAACGTGAGTGTCACTAAAATCACGTATTTTACACAAGTATTTTACTTAAGTTATGTAAATGATAAATGCTTATTTCTAAACAAAGGCTTTTATTTTAAATCAATCAAAAACAAACAAAGTAATAAAATATTATAATTGCACTTATCTATATAATTTTCAAGGTAAAATGGAAAGCAAATTACAAGGATGCGAAAGGTTTTCTGTTCAGCACAAGTTTGAATCTTTACACTACATATGAAACGATTCCTATTTCTCAATCATTGGTTTATTGGCAAAATTAATTCTACAAGAATATGATTTAAGAATTAAAAACTGTTAACGCTATGTATGCAGTTATATACAAACTTGGTCCAAGCATACGGAACGAACAAACTTAAGTGAATGAAATAAACGAAATAAACTTAATTGAATTCGATTTGTTCATAGTTTAATACAAAAAAGAATATAAGGATTTTTTTCTCATTAAAAAAGTTTATATCAGATAGACATTTATAAAAAGCCCAAATATTTCCATTTCTCTTAT